CGTGATCAGGTTTGTCCTTGGGAGGATTGATGCGACCGGGACTGTGTCGACCTTCTTGAGCTTGAGCATGTCGATCAGGCTGCTGGCGACCTCACGAGAGCATCCTGCAATCTCCCGGACTGGAAGGGTCACAGGTAGATCTAGAAGCTTCTCTGCAATCTTGACAGGGTCAACAGTCTTGCTGACATCTGACGCGCGCGGAGCCCAACGAGGTTTGTCCATTGTGGCTGGCTCCGTAGGGGCTGGCTTCTTCTGCTGAGTCAGAGTGCGGTTGTCGATCATGTCCACGTCATTATCAGGGTTGAATGCCATAGGCTGAGTCTCAACTGGCACCAGACGTTGCATGGGAAGGCGATGCACAGCAGTGGCCTTCTGCGAAGTCTCCATCTTCTTCGGCTTATCCTTGGGGTTCTCCTTTCCTTTTGAGGGGACGCCTACGCCGTCAAAGGTCTCCTTGCGGTAAGGCCTGGTGATACGTTGGGCTCTCTCCACTGGATAGACCATGACGTCGGCCTGCTCCGGATCCTCGTCTTCATCGTCCACATCCTGTGCTGGTCCATCATAGGCTATGAAGTTCACCTTGGGAAGGGTGCGTTCAATTGCCTGGACGATATTCTCACCCTCCTGCCGTCTGATGACTCGACCATCCTTGTCCGTGATACGCCCTCGATAGTCTTTCAGAACCTGGCCCTTTGAGATGTATTTCTGGATCTCAGGGCAGTTGTTCATGACATGGCCTGGCTGACCACATCCGAAGCATCCTTGGGTTCCTGACTGAAGTGGTGGTAGAGAGGGTCGCATTTGCGGCTGGTTTATGTTGGATCTGCCCATGTGTGGCGGCAAATCACGAGTGACGTTCTGGCTGAACTGTGGTGGGGGCCTGAGGATAGGCTGGTAGAAGCAGTTCTGCACGTTGGGGTCAATGCGGCAGGCTTTAAGGTACGCAGCACCATACAGCGGGTCGTCCAATCGGAGGGTGTGAAGCTGTTGGATCAGGCCATCAAGTTCCACATCCTCAGGCTTGCGGGATGGGGTAGGCACTGGGGTGGGCTTTGGCTTCTCCTCCTTGACTTTCTCCTGCTGCTGGATGTACTTGCGAACCTGTTTCTTCTTCGTCTCCTTCAACTCCTGCTCCGGGTCCTCCGTGTCGCTGTCATCTTCTTCGTCAAAGCGCGCAACCTTGCGGTTTGGCACTGGTGAGTCTCTCTCTGCTCTGCCCCGTCCAATCCCGGTGATCTCCTCAAAGTAGTCATCATCTTCATCATCTGATTGGTCAAGGTAGGTGTTGTCAGAGCCCAGTCGCTCCGTGTCGAACCGGTCAACACTAAGAAGGGCCTTGGCTGCTTTCTCAATAGCCTTGGGCGTGAAGGGTGTAGACATGTCATGCTCTGGATCCTCAAGCAGAATCCGGGCTTCTAGTCGCTTGCGGAAGGTGCGGTGAAGACCCATCCAGAGGTAGTAGGCATACTCTCCTTCTGAGATCTTCTTCTTTCCCTTGAGCCAGCCCGCGATGCGGACAAAGTTGCGCAGGTACTGCCGCCAATCCCGTAGCTCTA